GAACACTTTAAATAGTCTGTTTTATAGAAATGTATGCTGTTTGTAGAATATGTTTGAATCTGAGTTGTTAGACAACAGTAGTTTCAGCTGTATTGAGTGAGAGGATGTGACTGTATCTTAACTAAAAACTACAGGTGTTTGTATTTACAGGCATTTGGACCAAAGCTGTTCAGAGCTGCCTTTTGTGCCCTAAAACAGCACTGACAGGCTGCAGTGTATCTGTAGTACACTGACCAGCTTGCTGAAAACTCAGTTATGCAGGGCCTCAGAAATATTCTTTGCTCTGCCATCACTGAGATAAAGTCCCTCAAGGAGGCAAACAGGGCTCTAAAGGAGCAGGTTGGCCTCCTAGAGAAAGGACAGAATCAGGTCAAATAAAAACTTCAGCTCCTCATCACCAGAAAACGGTGGGTTCACACCAGAGCCCACCTGGAGTGCCTGGCCAAGCTGGCACAGAAAGACCTGGAGTTACAGAGCAGTGAAGAGCAGTGGAAGGCCAGGTGTGATGTTGTGGGGGTGAGCCTGCAGTAGGAGCTGAATTGCAGAGAAAAGTTGGAAGAGAGCAGTCCAGGATGCACAAGAAGAGAAGAAACGTCTGTGAGGAATTGCTCAGGAGGAAGGAGGTGAAGTAGACTGATGAACAGATCAGTTTCCTCTCCTTCATGAACAAAGAGCTTCAGGTATGACACCTCAGCTGACTGTTTTAGTTTGTTGGTTTCTAACTGCTTGTGTTAGATGAACTGAGATTTTTTGGATATTGTTAGGATCGCTCGACACAAAATGTGAGCGAGCGGAGAAATTAACAGACCCAGGAAGCTGGCTTCGGTGCAAGTGAGGATTTATTTAACAGTGCTAAGAATAGTGCAATAATATATACAAAAATGAAGGTATGAATAACCGGGTGTTGACCAGTGGAAGCAGGAGTTTTTGTTTGTGGAGTGATGATGGGCCGGGCTGCAGGGGTAGGAGTCACTCCTGGGCTGGTCGAGTTGGAGATCCGGTAGACTGAGGAGGTGACAGAGGGTTCAGTTAATGTGGAGACTGTGCATCGACCTGTGATGGTGGCTGGTGGAGCGGAGGGTGCCAGGATCCAGAGGAGAGGTCCAAATATGAAAAAGACGCTAGGAATAACCAACATACAAAGAATCAAGAGAATAAGCAAAACATACTCTAAGGGAGGCTGACGACAGAGAAAGAACTAGCAAGGGAGTGATGGTTAAGCCGAGTATAAATAAGAAGTGACAAAGGAGGCGCAGCTGAAGAGTGTCAGGAAAATCAGGGCAGGTGTGTCTAATCAAGAGAATCAGTGTGAGGAAGCAGACTAGGGCGAGAAAGAGAGAAGAGAGGAAGGTGCAGCCGGGCAAACCTGACAGATATGGAATGAAAAATACTGCTTTTTTCTTTTCAGGAGCTTGTGATGAAAACAAGGGAACAGTTGCAGAACAACTTTAAAAAAGAGCAGGAGAAACAAATAAAAGAGAAGAAGGAGAATGTGAAGAAAAGTGAAAACAATGATGAGCCAGTGGAGAGAAACTAATATGGGAGAGATATGATCTCTTGCTAGTTCCTGTCAGTACTCTGGCTGCAGCATTTTGGATTAACTGGAGGCTTTTTAGGGAATTATTGGGACATCCTGATAGTAAAGAGTTACAGTAGTCCAGCCTGGAAGTATCAAATGCATGGACCAGCTTTCCAGCATCACTTTGAGACAAGATGCTCCTGATTTTCGCAATATTGCACAGGTGAAATAAGTTAAAAAGTCAAAAATGACTCCAAGGTTCCTCACAGTAAGAGCTATGCAGTAAGAGCTATATCATCTAAAGTAACTATATGATTAGATAGCAGATATTTAACATTTTCAGGACCAAGCACAGTGACTTCAGTTTTGTCAGAGTTTAGAAGTAAGAAGTTACAGGTCATCCAGGCCCTTATGTTTTTAAGACATGCTTGAAGTTTGACCCGCTGATCTGATTCATTTGGCTTCCTAGACAACTATAACTGAGTATCATCTGCATAGCAATGGAAATGTATGCTGTGCTTCCTAATAATATTGCCTAAAGGGAGCATGTATAAAGTGAAGAGAATTGGACCTAACACAGAGCCCTGTGGAACGCCATGACTAACTTCAGTTTGTGTGGAACATTCACCATTAACATGAACAAATTGAAATCTTTCTGATAAATAAGATTTGAACCAACTTAGTGCACTTCTTGTAATCACAATAACATGTTCATGTCTCTGCAGTAAGATCCTGTGATCAATGGTGTCAAAAGCAGCACTGAGATCTAAGAGGACAAGTATGGAAACAAGTCCTTTATCTGAGGCTAGGAGAATGTCAGGTCCGCTTGGCATGACCTGCCTCTCTTCCGCCTTTCTCTCCTCTGCTCTCTTGATCCTGTGGGATCTGCACCTCAGCTGTGTTGCTTTCAGTAATTAGCGACTCGTTTGTCAGTGCGCACAGCTGGGGTGCATCTCATTGATTACCTTCCTCCTTATTTATACCTCTGGCAGACGCTTCGTCGTCGCCGGAGCATTAACTTAACATACCTAACTTGCATACCCCGTTACAGCCCTATATTTGTGGTATGTATCAGACGTCATTTTGACTTCCACGCTGACATTAGCCTGTTTACTCCCCTGGTCATCCTGGTCTCCCTAGCAGTATTTGCTCAGCCCTGGTTGTATGTGTTCCTCGACTGTTCCTTTTTGTAATCCCAACCAACAAGTTTTTTACTAGCACCTGGGTCAGCCATCTTGAGTCCAACCTCAGTTCTCCCTCACCCTCCTGGTGAGGGGGACTAAACCGTAACAGAGAAGATCATTGGTGACTTTCACCAATGCAGTATGATGGACTCTAAAACCTTACTGAAAATCCTCAAACAAATCATTCTTGTGCAAGTGGTCACATAACTGTTTAGCAACAGCTTTTTCCAGAATTTTAGAAATAAACGGGAGATTGGATATTGGTCTATAATTAGCTAGGACACCTGGGTCAAGAGTAGGCTTTTTGAGTGGAGGTTTAATTACTGCAAGTTTAAAAGCCTGTGGAACATAACCTGTTAATAGAGAAAGGTTAATCAGATCTAGTATGGATGTGTTGATTAGGGGAAAGACGTCTTTGAGCATCCTGGTCGAGATGGGGTCCAGGAGACATGTTGATGATTTAGATGAAGCAATTGTTGAGGTCAACTCAGAGAGATCTATAGGGGAGAAGTAGTCCAAGTATAAATGAGGTCTCACTGATGTTTCTAAAGCCATTGTAGTAGATGGCACATCTGCGAGAGCTGTGGGAGTGGTCCGACCAATTTTTTCTCTAATAGTTGTGATTTTATTTGTAAAGAAGCTCATGAAGTCATTGCTGCTGAGATCTAAGGGAATGTTAAGCTCAACAGCACTGTGGCTCTTTGTCAGCCTGGCTACAGTACTGAAAAGAAACCTGGGGTTGTTCTTATTCTCCTCAATCAGTGATGAATAAAATGCAGTTCTGGCACTATGAAGGGCTTTCTTATATGTTATTAAACTATCTTTCCAGGCTATGAAAAACTCTTCTGAC